TACTAGTTTCAATATATGATATCTGGTAGATTACATTATTTCTCTTGATTTAATCTGTTGGGTACCTAAGCCGACAAAATTTATCTCTCGATAAGTTGGTTGGTTAGAAAACCAATCTAATTCTAGTCTTATTAGGAATCCTATATTGTGTCTTTGTTCCTTCTTTATATAGCAGCACTACAAATAACTTATCACTGACAATTTTTGTTTACACGCGAAAAAGTAAAACTAATGGAGGATGAGTTTGCTAACAAAGAAAATTTGTTCCGATTAGGTTGTATTGTTAAATTAATAAAGTTTAAGAAATGTCAAAAGTAAATATTGAGGAGTGATTTAGTCAGTCACTGTAGTGTATACATTAATATAAATGTTTGTGTATTTCCCAATGAGGGAAATATAAAACGATACTGTTGTTTTTACTGATGTTTCGCTATTTAATGCTAATAGCTTTATCCGAGTAGTAATATTAAACCAGGAAATATCAGAAGAGTACTCAATAAACACACAACACCAGAGTTTTCTTCAAAGCATCACACACACTGCGAAGCAACCTTGTCCATACAAAAGACCAAATCCCTAAAGATTCTCTATCTAATTGTGTCTATAAAGTAAAATGCTTATAATATGATGTGATATACATTGGACAAACCTCGCTACTGAGAAATCAAAATCAGAAGAAATGAACACCGTAGAGCATCTGTTCGACCACCGAGAAATCCAGCTGAACTAGAAAAGCTTCAAAAGTCATCAGCCATAGCTTGTCTACATCACCTATAGAATCAGGCAAAAAAGTTGATTTTGACAATATTGAAATAATTCAGAAAAATTCCAGAAATCACAAATATCGTCTAATATCAGAAGCACTTCATATCAAATGGAATCAAAATGATCTGAATAGGAATGATGGAATTAAACAGAATTTGACCTGATTACAACACCCCCCTCCCCCATGAAATGATAAAATCAACACGAATGTAGTAAGCAATTTCATTATGTAAACACGTGCTTCCTTTATAATCTTATACACTTATCATATCCAACAATCTACTCTTGGCTTTGTTACCTTTACCAATTGTCCAACTTGATAACGTAAAAATTACCTCATGCTGGGGAACGATGGTTAAGTTGTTATCCATATAAGCTGAGATTTTGTAAATTCTGGTTTAATGTTACTACTTTGATAGAGCTATTAGTGGTATTTAATTGCGAAACGTCAATAAAAACAATATCGTTTTGTTTTTCATTCATTGGGAAACACAAAAATACCTTTATTATAATGAATATCATATACTCAATGTCCAAATTTTTCAAACTGTTAAAAGTGAACTTGGTTTGGACATATATAACTGTAGTGTATAAACCGTAATCTTCAAAGTCAATTAAAAATACATGGTAATATTTCAATTACAAACTTTAAGGTGAATTCTAATAGGTTAATATTCAGATTTTATACTGGTAAACAAAACTGAGGAAGGAAACTAATTTAATCTAACAGGTCGTAATTTCAGAAGTTGCCAATTGTTTATGCATACCTTTGGGTATCTATGGTAATCATATACAGCCGTTTGATCTCCATCTATATATCTCAGCGATAGATTTTCTTATTGCACCACTAGGAGACTTCGGTTTCACTCTCAGAAGAGATGCCACTTCCTTCGAGGTTGTAGATACAACCCTCTCTGGAAAGTGGCAATAAATAAATAAACCTACATCAATGACATCATGCTGATTATATTCAAAAGCTGTATATTGATCTGAAGTGTGCCGTGATGGCAACAGTTACCACCTAATCACCAGTCTCATATACCTTAGTGATAAAAGTTGTTTCTGATTCTACATACATGTTGTTGAACACTGACTACTGACTATAGTCTTTATTTTACAATAAATGTAGGCATTTAAAAACGTATTAGTAAGAAAAATAAGCAGGAAGGTTGGATGAAAAATATAATCGGATAGTAATGTTTCTTTTGAGAAGATAGACTGTTTATAATAGCTACGGTAAATACAAAGGTTGGATGTACTTCTTTTGAATAGAAACTGTTAGCTTGAATTTTCGGATCGATAGTGTTTCACCTATACCCAGATATCTTGATTTCACTCCCTTTGACAGGTTCGGTCGGATCTTGTATAGGACTTTGACGGACTTTTCAAATAAGGATGAATGTGCTAAGTTCAGAAGGTGTTCTGTCGTCGAGCTATAGACATACCTCCATTACCTCTTTACTAGTCAAGCTGGACAGTGTTCCCAAGTGTGTTTTTCAAGCGGACGCATGACACAGCCAATGTATTAGATCTACAAGGGTAAATAAATTGGTGGTATACGTGTGTTAATGTGTACAAAAGCGACAGTTTGTCTTTCATGTGCAGACCAACTGGTTCTTACAAGAAAACGTTATTCGTAAGCTGGCAGCAAAGAATGTTTTACTGAGATGTTTGAGCAACCATCTTGATAGAATTTATGCCTGATTGTCACTTGCATATTCGAGATTCAGGTAGAAAAAAGTTTTGTGGGTGACCTGGACCTAATCAGTAGCTTTCTGTGGTTTCAAATTCTTGTCTATGAATCTGGGTAGGAAATCAATTTCCATAAAGATTCTTCGGAGGATTTGCAACCCTTCATTAGAGGACTCCTTTGAACGTGTACTCTGTTATGTGTGATTACGTTGTAGGGTGTACAGTGATACACGTTTATTATTGAATAATAAAAGAAATCAACCGGCAGGTCGTCAATTTCCTAACAGAGTTATTTAAGAGCTGAAATTACAGCCTGATTGCTTAGACTTTGTTGTTTCAAGCAGAGCTTCAAACAATGTACCCGTGGTTGAAATTCAAATGGCTTAATGGGAGACACTCAGCTGGATCCAGTAAAGAATATTTTTATAATAATAATAATAATGACAACTTTATTCTGGACAAAGCGCTTACGAGATATTCAGAATTCCCAGCCGCATAATATTTCTTTTCATCCAGAATCTTCAGGTTAATTAGTGACTGATACTATATTGCACGACTCAGTACTGTTCTATCTGAAGCACAAACCAATCCAATGGGATAGTTTTCATTCGCCACTAAGAAATGCATACAAATCGGTTGAAAGCCGATTAAATTATGTGCGTGAGTACATTTTTCAATCCAGTAACATTATTGAATGATGAGAACAATATGAAATGGAGAAAGTCTGCTGCATTATATTGTGATTCAAGTACACCACCAAAGAGATTATCACTGTTTGTTTTATTAAATTAGTATGGTTTAACACGGAAGTGTATTCTATCACAGTCGTCAAACTCTTTTCTGCTTCTATTAAAACTACCAGCTATTTTCTTTCCGTAATTTAAATTCAAATGAATTGAATTGTAATCTATGATATAACGTTGTCCCTAATTGAGAAGATTTATTTACTGATAACTTAACGATTCGATCATGAGCACTAAATTGTGCCGGTAACCCAATCATTAAATATTACTGTATAACACTGTGAGACTTTCTATTATGGGTAAAATTTATTTTGATAAAGTCTCACTGTGTTATACAGTAATATCTACTGATGACCACGCTTCGAGCACAACTTATTACTGCTCATAATCATATCAAGGCACTACTCACATAGCTTTCTAACTTCGTTTATATAATTCCATTATTTTTCATCGCTTGATTTGATTGCTAATGGTAGTAGTATTTTCCATATTCCTGGTATGAGTGATGAGTCATTCCTATTGCATGTGTTGGGTGTAGACTCGACGAACAAGGATCCAGTAATCAATCTCTCTCTCTCCACCTACTTATGTTACTTCTTAGGAATTTAACCCTCTCCCACTACCCTATTGTGTAGTTGTGTGTTAATTCATGCAGTGAAATGGCTGAGCTTTTTTCTAAATTACTTATCTTCGCCGGTGAGGTCAACCATTCTTACCTTAGCTAAATTCTTATGTTCTGACAGGTAATGTGACTACCCGTGACCTACTAGTTTGACTGACCTATGTAGTTGACATCACGGTTATTCCAGGGTATAATGAAAATTATAATATTTTGTCTAACTAGGTCTTCTGACAGGATCCTTCAACCTACAGTGTTTGTCCCAGTGTGAGTTTGTAGGTTTGAATGAAACTCTAATTCCTGTTTTATTAGGAATCCTACGCGGGGTCTCAGATGTCCCCTCCTTATATGGTATAACAGTATATGGTATATGATATTCTAAGAAGTAATATAGTTAGTTGGAGAGGAGAGGGGGATTGATTACTAAATCCTTGTTCATCGAGTCAACACCCAACACGTGCAATAGGAATGACTCATCACTCATACCGAAAATATGGAAAATACTAATACCAATAAAATCAAGCGATGGAAAATAATGGAATTATATAAACGAAGTTAGAAAGCTGTGTGAGTAGTGCCTTGATATGATTATGAGCAGTAATAAATTGAGCTCAAAACGTGGTCATCAATAAATATTCCTGCATAATACTGTGCGATTTTATCAAAATAAATTTTACCCATAATGGAATTATGCTCTACCACAGTGCACAAGTTTTATTCTTATATCACTGTGAGACTTTGTTCGTCGGTGGCGAGGAGGTAGAATACTCACCAACCACTCAGGTGGTCCGGGGTTCGATTCCTGGCCGACGCACTCCCAAACCTCTCTCAGCTAATAATAAGCGCGGCAAAGAGGGAAGGTTGGGCGTGAGACTAGCATTCCCACTCCCTAAAAGTGGAACAACTGCTACCGAAACTTCAAGCCTATGGCTTAAATCCTTGTTCCAGTGAGAACTCAAAAGAATGAATGAAATAAAATAAATAAATAAATGTGAGACTTTATCAAAATACGCTTTCCTCATAACGGAATTATACTCTTTCACAGTGCCCAATTTCTATTCTTATAAAACGTTGTCAACTGTAATACAATTTCCTTACCATTTAATTTTAAATTGCTGAATTTCACTTTCTTGATGTTTGTTTTCTTTTTTGCTTTGTAAAAATATACTACTAATTTACAGCCTACTTAAAATTGTATCAATTGGAATCGATTATTGGTGTTACAAAAAGCAGTAATGAACAATTGAATTTATTTGAATATCAAATTAATCAGTCAATAGAAAGTGTAAAACAGTTCAGTGATCAATATGTTGATAAGCTGTTATCAGCAATGAGTAAATATCTTTTAGCTAAATTAAGGTATGTATTATTTGTCGTTATTATTATTATATTACTATTGTTCCCTTGGGTTCCTAGTGGAACATAGGGCTTCAAATGCACGTCTCCAGTTGCTTCCGTCTGCTGCTGTTCTTTTCATCTGCATCCATGTTGGTCCATACTGTTTCAACTCCTCTTCACACGATCTCCTCCATGTCACCCTTGGACGTCCCACTCGCCGCTTCCATTTTGAGTTCAACTCGAGCGTTGGCCTGACGCACGATGTTACCCAGCGGCCTCCTCAGCGAGTGTCCAATCCATCTCCACTTTCTCCTGCATATTTGTTGGGCGATTGGTTCTTGTTTGTTTCTTCCCATAGTTTCTTGTTGGTGATTCTTTCCGGCCATCTAATCTTCAGTATAGAACAAAGACAGTTGTTGATGAAGGTCTGCAACAGGCTGTTGGAAATATTCTTTGTGACCCGCCAAGTTTCTGATCCGTATAGAAGAATTGACTTGACGTTTGTATTGAAAATCCGAATTTTGTTGTTGATGGTGATTGACGAAGATTTCCAGATTGGTTTCAGGTTGGTGAATGTGTTTCTCGCCTTCCCGATTCTCGATTTGACATCCTCGTCCGTTCCTCCTGTAGTTGAGACAATGCTCCCTAGATAAGTGAGTGTAAGAAGTAACCTCTTTCAAATCCCTCCCGTTGATGGTGATTGGCGCTGGATGTTGCTGCTGTTGTTGTTGTTGGTTGGTTATTTTCATAACCTCCATCTTGTCTATGTTCACCTGCAGTCCTGTCTTTGCTGCTTCTTCCACCAGTTTGTCGGTTTTCGCTTGTAAGTCTTCGATTTTGTGTGACATCAAACATAAATCATCCAAGCGAGAAATCCAGGTCTTCTAGGTTCTTCACGTCGGTCCAGGATATCCCTGTCTTCTCGTTTCCCACTGTCTGACGCATAATCCAGTCCACCACAATTAGGAATATCATTGGTGCTAATAAGCACCCTTGTCTGACTCCTGTGTTTACTCCAAACGCCTCGCTGAGTTTTCCGTTGTGGATCACTTGACATGTGCCGTTGTCGTACAGCTGTTGAATAAGGTTGATGAATATTTGGGGTACGCCGTAGTACTTGAGTAGTTTCCAAATTACTTCGCGGTCAACGCTGTCGAAGGCCTTCTCAAAGTCTATGAAGGAAGTTGAGGTAGAGGTTTGATTGCCATTCCATGCTTATTTGTCGTTAGTAGTCATAATTGTGTCGATTATTAAGTTTCGTTTACTGGGTGATTTCATTGCTGCACACAGGTGCCAATAAAAGCATTACTGGTCGACATGACTGGTTAGCCTACAACTACTCAGCCCAATCAATCAGTAGTATATGTATAGTTTTATTCAATTCTGCTTGTTTTCTTGAGTGGCATTTATTGTATCCAGTAGGTCACACACTGTGATCTAAATAATTTTGATCTGATACATTTGGTTCCCTTGATAAATTTCTATAAATAAAGGAAGAGGAAATTTGCAGTATAAAATGATATTGTCATTCTATTTCACAGGTTCTCATCAGCTAACTGCAAACTACCGGAAATTACAATGGATTATATAGATGATAATAACGTACACTTTAACGTTTAAGTGGTAGTAGAGAAGAAATACTATAAAACTGACACATCCAAAATGTGAGCATTACAATTTTTAGTTTAGGTTTTCATCATCAATTTATACGCTTTCAAAGTAGAAAAGAGGGGCAAGTGTAGGTTCACATTGCAACTCAAAAAACAAAAGTGGTTACAGTTTATAAGATTGAGATTTGTTCAGTGAGTTGAGATCACTGAATTAGATGACTAATTAATGTAATCTGTGTCTATACGAATGATGTGCTTCTTTGGAACGTGAAACTTGAATCCTAGATATAAGGCTTCTACTTCGATTTCGCTTAATTGTAATTTTAACAGATTACAAACGTAGCGTTCAGGTGATTCTGGGAATTCTTCAATTAGCTTTTCTTTCACCAATGCCTTTGTCAGCTGAGTTTCATAATCCTCGGATGTTTTAGACTGTAATTCTTTGATAAAATTCATGAATTTAAGCCAGCAAATAATATTGAGCTCACTTAGTACGGTATCATAGAAAGCCAGACGACACTTCAATTCAGAGAGGTACTGGTATAAGGATTCGACATGAGATTTTGCTATTCGACGGAGATTCTTTTGAGAAGGTGGGAGTTTAGCCGATCGCACTTGTTTCAAGAACTGTCGTGGGAAAAAACCTATTCGCAAACACTGTTCATAGAACCTGATCTTTATTGATTCTCTAGATATTCTGTATCGTATGGTCACTACCTGATTCAGTGACTTAATAGTTTGAGCAGGGAGGTGTCTTTTCAAAAACTTCATACATTTGGTTCCCTTGATAAATTTTGATCTTGATTTTGATTACATTAATTAGTCATCTAATTCAGTGACCTCAACTCACTGAACAAATCTTAATCTCATAAACTGTAACCGCCTTTCCATTATGGGTAAATTTGGTTTTGATAAAGTCTCACAGTGTTATACGGTAATATTTACTGATGACCACGTTTTGAGCACAATTTATTGCTTATAATCATATCATATCATCTTGATATGATTATGAGCAATAAATTGTGCTCGAAACGTCATCAGTAAACATTACTGTATAACACTGTGAGACTTTATCAAAAGAAAATTTACCCATATTGGAATTACACTCTACCACAGTGCACAAGTTTTATTCTTATATCAATGTAACTGCCTTTGGTTTTGGAGTTCCTATATGAACCTACAAGCTAACAATGTTTCTGTTAATCAATTTTTCTATTTTCTGTCTTACCCCTCCCCTCCTCTTTTCAACTTTGAAAGCGTATAAATTGATGATGAAAACTTAAACTAAAAATTTTAATGCTCACATTTTTGGATGTGTCAGTTTTATAGTATTTCTTCTCTACTACCACTTAAACATTAAAGTGTACGTTATTATCATCTATATAATCCATTGTAATTTCAGGTCGTTTGCAGTTAGCTGATGAGAACCTGTGAAATAGAATGACAATATCATTTTATACTGCAGACTTCGTCTTCCTTTCTTTATCGAAATCTTGAAACCCATGATCACAAACTGTATGAATATTATCTTACATCCGTGAGTCATTTGGGAGTGGTACACGCATATTCATAAATGAATACAAATCATCCTATATTTATTTGATTAACAGTGACTAACAGAGGAATCCAAGGTGTGCCTTTTGTCCTTTTTGGGACTCATTGGCTGGATGTCTTTGCCTCTTCAATTGGAACTCGAACCAAGCACCAGAAATTTCAAATGCCTAATGATTATTTAACCAAATAACATCATATTAACCTTCACACATCAAAGCATATATACTAGGAGCTGACATATTTACAGTTATGTTGAATAGTTATTTACTTCATAATTTGCTGCATATTATTCTGTATTATTTATCTTCTTCTTTTTCTGCTTCTCTCATTTAATTCTTAACAGGCTTATACAAATGAAAATGAATGAATACGAATTTCTGCTGCAACAAGCTATCAGCGAATGTATCTCCGATCAGGGAGAATATCATCCACAATTGGCTGAATGGTTAATGATCTTAGCACTGTCATTACAGAATTCAATTGATGACAGCGAATCAAAAGAAGCAAAGTATGTTGGTTTGAAAATGATTGAAACAGACTGAGACAGATACATAGAGAGAGAGGGAGATAGAGTCTGACTGTTTGAGTTTTTTTTTGTCAGTTACTTTAAAATAGTTGGGTAAAGTTAATTGAAAGGATTTTAAGTTTTATAAACTGAATAATAATAATTGAATAATTTGGTTCTGATCGACGTGGGGTTAAAAATCTATCTATGGAAAGAGTTTGGCTAATGACCCAGTGGTTTCATCCTGTTTTCTGCCATCTCCGTTAGCTGGCTTATTAACCACTTATAAGCTTTTATCTCCTCCACAACAACTGGGGACGTTAATCTCACTGAAGAGATAGCCTGTTAAGAGATGTCAACCAAAGGTCTCCTCAGTGTGTTCGATCAATTTCCATCTTCTTCAGAATATGTGTTAGGCGATAAGTTGGTTCGTTTCTCGCGTTCCTTGTTGCTAATCTTTCCTGGATAGTTGGCTGGCTGGCCATCTGAACATCAGTATCAAGCAAGCGAATGAAACTATTGGTGAAATTCTGTGGCAGCTAATTCGAAATACTTTCAGTGATGCGTAGAGTCTGTGACCCATTTCAAAGAAATGACCAAAAAATTCGTGGGGGCAATCCTAATTTTGTCCCTTATTTTGAATGCAGCAGATTTCCAAACTAATATCGGATTAATTTAAATGTTTTCAATTATTGGTTTTATAGGGACTTTTGATTGATTGGTTGGAGGATTTCATCATGAGCTGACATTAGTTAGAGAACCACTGGAAAACCTTGGAGTACTGGATAGCTGTTTCGTCCTAGTTTGGGACTCTTCAGCAACATGAACCCACCGGCGTTCAAACCCAGGACCTTCTGGTTACAAGGCGAGCTCATAGAGCTGAGTTCGAAACCTGGTGGGTGCATACTGTGAAGAGTCCTAAACTAGGATGAAACAGCTGTCCAGTACTCCCAGGTTTTCTAGTGGTTCTCTAACTGATTCCAACTCATGTTGAAATCCTCCATGTAATTTACGTGTGTCTTTCCTTTCTGTTTGTGTTTGTTTTTCAATTTCATTTTGTATATTATTTAGTTTCATAGTAATTCGATGTAGTTCTTCTCTTAGACATAATCTACTAACATATTCGGCTGCTGATGTGATTTTCCTTGATGTAATTGGAGTATATATGTGTAAATATTTCGGAGTTATATGATTTTTTAAACATCGACTGTTAAAAATCCAATGGTTTGTGAATCTTGCTACTGTTTGAGAAAGTCGTGTTTGTTGATAAGCTTCCTAGTAGGAAGACCGTATGTATTATTGATATAAGTATATCTTATATCTTTCCTTTCCGATCTGGGCTGACTTTGACATTCCCATCCGTTCCTCCTGTAGTTGAAAGGAAGTTGCCTAGATATATGAGATTTCTCCCCTCGATAGTGATTATTGCTTATTGTTGTTTGTTTTTCTTGTCTTTTTATTCCTTCACGTTCCCAGTGGAACATGGGGCTTCAAGATAGAGATTGGAAGTTTCGGTAGCAGTGGTGTTTACTTTTACGGGATGGGGCTGCTAGCCTCATGCCCAACCTTTCCACTTTACCAGTCTTATTTTTGATTTAGCGAGGTAAAGGAGTGAGTCGGTGGCCGAGGATTGAACCCCGGACCATATGCATGGCCGGCGAGCATTCTATCGCTGTGCCACCGACGCATTGTTATTAGTTAGTTATCTTTATCACCTCTGTCTTCTCCTTCTGCACTTGAAATCCTGTCTTTGCTGAGTGCCTCTTCTGACAATTTTTAAAAAAAATAAATAAAGGAAAAGCGTGAACCAAAACTGTAAAATTGATTCACAGTTACCATAAGTTTGAAAATACAGAGTGTACGGAATAGGTTGAGTAAACCTCAGTGAATTCATTTTTGATACGATTCTCATGACAGTATAAAAAGCCTATTATTTTCCAAAACAAAAACGCCCTTGTATCTATTGTTCCTCTCCCTCCCCCCAAGTTTACAATCTGTCAAAATTAGAAATGAGGTTAAATTTTCATTTAAAATGACTTTTTCAGCTTCGGTTTAATTCTATTTGTACAATTCCGTAAGCGAGAATTACTCTGCTACCTGAACATCTGTTTGTTTGACAGTGCTGTTTTTCATTATCCTCGTCATCAAAAATCACTCCACTTTTTCATCTTTGTTATTAATAGAACTATTGATCCTATTATTATGACTTATTGATAAATCATGATAATTGATTTATTTTCAATATTTATTTTATATATTAGAGTTAAGCCTGATGAGATGTAATTGAAACAATATTTTCAAGAGTCAGTTTGTGCGGATTTGATATGCTCCAAGTTTGACCACCTACTGATATATGTTAGAGGACCATCGAAAACCAGGGAGTACTGGACAGCTGTTTCGTCCCAGTTTAAGACTCGTCGATGGTACGCAGAATTCATAGGCCACTAAGTCGAGTCCTAGTAGCTGGATGGTCTACGAGTTTACTCTCTAACCATGTGGCCCTGGGTTCGAATCCTGGGGGTGCCTGAAGCCGATAAGCTCCAAACTAGGATGAAACAATTGTCCAGTACTCCTTGGTTTCCCAGTGATTCTTTAACTGATATCAATCTGTGGTGAAACTTACACGTGTTAGTCTTAATTATTGTATGGGTATAGAGTGTTCAACAAAGTCAAAATTGAAAGCTAATTTGCAACATGTATTCACATCCTTTCAGGGATAACAGTTTTGTTAACTTCTGTGTCATATACCTACCTCTTTCGACTAAAAGAAATTTTTTTGACTTTAAAAATAAATCAAGTTTTCTTAGAATTACATTTGGAAGAAGACGAGCACAAGCATGTCTTCGATGGGCGCTTGACATAATGACTTACAATCAAGAAATTCGAATACAACCAGCTATTCATCCACCAATGTCAATACTTTCAAATCCTAAAAAATCAATTTATCTACAATTACACAGAAGTGTATTATTACGTCTGCCACGATATCTGATTACACCACAGATACAATCGGCTTCATCAGTATCAATATCAGTACCAACGTCGATAAAGTTATCCTCAGTATCATTAATAAGTAGTATATCGAAAACACTGAAAAGTAATGACACATTTAAACGAAAATTAAATCAATCAAGTGAATTTTTAAACAATAGCTTGTCGAATTACAACACTGCGCATCATAATACCGATATATATCAAACACTTCCAGCAGAAATATGCTTACACTTAGCTGTGTGTTTGTTAAATGAAAGACGTCATATTGGCCTACAAGAAGCGACTACACGTGCTGCGTATGTTTTACATGAAAGAATATTATTTCTAGGTAGGTGTAAAGGTATAATGTTCTTTCTTAAGTGTGCTTTATTTGTTGAGTAATATAAGAATTTTTATTATTACTACTGATTGTAGAAAATACCCATTGGGACATTAGAGGGAAAAGAACAAGAAGTTCAGCGACACAGATATCTTTTCGGTGATTTTATTCTCAAAAGCACCTGTACAATCACATTTACATACATTAGTTTACATGGATACAATTATTATTTATATAATTCAACATAGTAACGAAGGAGATAATAATTTTCAACTTGATATGAAAGTTTGAAGGTACGAATATGGCTTACAAGGGGCTTAGAGACAAGATTGCATAGGATTAGAAAACAGTTACAACGTATGCAAAATTAATATTTGATAACTGGAGAAATAACTTTAAAACCGAATAAAAGGTGATAATTATTTTCAACTTGATATGAATTACAAAAGGCGAAGAGACGAAAGTTACGCAGAGATAGAACGAATTACAGGAGTAAACTAAATGAGCATGGAAACAAATTGAAATAATAATTTTCAACTTGAAATGGAAGTTAGGAGGTGTGAATATAGATTACAAGAGGCATAGAAACAAAAATTACACAGGATTAGAAAAGAATTGTAAAATAGTTATTCTAAACGGATAACAGGTGTGATCAGGAGAAGCATGGAGACAAACTTAAAATAACTGATTTTATAACCGCAAAAAATGGGATGAATTGAATGAAGACAAAGAGAGAAAATTACATACACATACTACTGACTTATTTTTTTATTCCTGTGGTCGCTGGGTGGAACATAGAGCTTCACACTTGATGTTTAGAATTCCAGTAGCAGTGGTATTTCTTACCAAGAGATGGGGTTGCTAGTCTCACGCCCAAATTTCCCTTTTCTTAACAGTCTCACTACCGGTTAGGCGAGGTTGAGGAATGCGCCGGCCAGGATTCGAACCCTAGGCCACGTGAGGCAACTGTTATTATCAGTAATCCAGTGTCAGGTGGTTAGAGAAGCTTGAGATGAGAACTTGAGTTATTCAGTGTTGCAGTCAGAGATGCTACTACTGAGTTATTCAAACTCACATAGGACTGTTGTGGATATACAGACTGGTCAGAAGAGAGTAACAAGTGTCATGTTTTTGGTAGAATTCAGTCATTGTCAACACAATGAGCTTAAAGTATGACATTTGCTGCTCCCTGTAGACCAATGACTGTAATGTTCCAATTCACAAAGCATATGTGATAGTGGATCTAATCTGTGTACTCAGCCACGGATACTCACCAGTTAAAGATATTGCCTAGAAAAGAAAGCTTTGACTTAAATTCCTTCTTTTTCTAATTGTTATTTCTGTATTAGATAATCAGTTAAACAGGGAACAACATCCTTTACATGAAGGTATTTTCTTAATTCTATATACTGAACTTTTCAAATGCTTTATTTGTGAGGATTTTCATTATTTTCAAGACGAATTTGACCAAGGACTGAAATCCATAAGGAAATCACTGAAATTCATTGTGTATCCGTTAGCTGATTCGTCCTGGTTTTAGACTCTTCATCACCACTAAGGACTGAACTTATGTTCACAAGTTTAAACATAAATGAAGGTATCACTTAGCCAAATTGATGACAATCCTATCACCCATGAGCTCTGACTTTTAACCTATAAGTAGGATGTGTACTTCGTAAGATGATGGAGTTAGGCTAAAAGCTGTATTTTCATAATGCCTGATGAATAGTGATTGCTCTAATGGTATAGTGTGCCTGGACCCCATGGGGGGTTATAAATTTGGTCTAATTAATAATCTCTCTAAAGAAAGGTTCAAATAAGATGTAACTTTAGTTACAGAACACTGTGTTAATGGAAGCATCAGTGGTCAAGTACAGGAATGCTGTACAGTGCTCCCTGTTGGTTTTCCAATGGTTCTCTAACTGATGTCAGCTCATAATCAAATCCTCCAACCAATCAAACAAAATCCCTATAAAACCAATACTTTAAAACTTGTGATTTCTATCAGGAGACCGTTATCAAAAATTCACTGTCAGGATGCTACTTTACAGACACACATCTGTCACGACTAAAATACCAGATAAATGAATATTTACTAGACTATCGGAGTGAATAAATAAAACTGGTTAGTGTTTCTTTTTAGTGGGATTGTTGTTTCAATACCAGTAATAAGGAAAAAGACGAATAAAATTTTATCTACATATATGCATTTATTAGATAAGATATGACTTTTCAATTCAAATAACTAATAATGTAATATATGATTAATATATTTACATAAATTATTAATTTATTCAAAGATATTGGGTTTGAGGGGATTCCCTTAGTCTCAGGGTAGATCTCATCAAGAAAATTTTCTTCTCAATGAAGTCACCAACTAGGCTGTACATTCGTGTATCTATAGGAAATGAGTAACAAAGTTCTAAAACTATTTCCCGTCAAGGGTCAATCTAACAAAATTACAAAATGTGATAAGCAGGAAAATTGGGTAAAAAACGTAGTAAGATAGATAGGTAGTTGTACTATTCTAGAACTCTTTAAGGTCAAAGGTTGAATTAATTACAAACAGTATAATAAACAGGAAAGCTTACTAGGATCATAATTACTGAAAAACGTGACTGTTTATTCAATTAAAAACGTAGTAATAACAAAATAGACAGGAAGTTAAGATAAAAAAGAGCAGATCTAGTAATGAGGATAAGAATTAGAAACCGTAAAAATAACAGAAATAAGCAGGTTGGTTGGATAAGAAAGGTAATAGGATATTCATTATTGATAGGAGTGACCTTTTATGACGGCCATGGTAAGGACAACGGTTGGACGTATATCTTCTGAATACTTGGCGTGGGCATAAACTTTTGGACCGCTAGTGCCTCAATTATTTCCAGATGCCTTGATTTCACTTCCTTTGATAGAGTGGATCGGATCTTGTACATGACTTTGAAGGACTTCTCGAATGTGGCTGAATGTCCGAAATTCACCAGATGTTCTGTTATCGAAGTGTATACCCCCTTTGCGTTTCTCCTTTGCTAAACATGCTGGATAGTGTTCCCGAGCGCGTTTTGCACTGGGACATGCGCCACAGCCAATGTACACGGCTCTACCAGGGCAGGTGAACTGGTATATGCATGTTGAAATGGCCCAATGAGACTGCTTATCTTTCACTTGCTGGCTGAATAGTTTCTTATAGGAAAATGTCACTCATAGGGTAGTGGCGAAGTATGTTTTTCTGAGAGATTTAGGAAGCTTTCAATGGGGAACTTCTGCTTCGGTATCACTTTCAACTTCGAAATTAAGTATCAACACCATTTTGGGGGCGACTTGTACCTTTTGAGACGTTTTCTTTAGTTTTAGATTCTTGTTAATGAATCTGGGTGGGAAACCATTTTCCATCAAGGTCCAGCGGAGATTTCGCAATTCTTCGTCAATTTATTCCTAAGTGCATATGTTCCCGATCCTCGAGTAAAAAGAGTATATGAGGTTAATCTTTCTGCTGAGAGGAAAACAATTCTTGAAAACTAAACAGTAGATGACAGCTTTGTTGCCTCCGCTTTCAGACTGCTCTGGCAGTGAACTCATGATCTTCAAGTTATGAGTGCAGCACTGTTCAACCGACATGTTATTTTGGAACACATTGACCAATGGATTCTAGGTTCTCTGTAGTGTGAAGAAAAAATCTGTGCATATACAAAGTTTAATTTGTTTATTCACAACTCACTAATTAAGGGGTATTTAAAGCTGAAGGTTATATTGTCAGAATGTAGTAAATCTAACAGTTTCATTGACTATGCTGATTAGGATTTATTCCTTGTACTCCAAGTGTAGCATAAGGCTGCAACGACATGACCATCTCTATAGATCTATTCCTGCAAATAGAAGTATTATCACGGCTTCACAGTACTGTTCCCAGACGTAATTGTATATATCAAATGTCTCAGTAATCATTTTAAATTCTATTTCCCGTGTACTCTGTAACTGCATTAAGTGCTCATTATACCAGTAGAGGACACACGGAAGTATTCATGAACCGCTTGAACCACACAGCAAACCCCGTAAATCACCAAATGAAAAAATAAAGTAGTGTACATGACTAGCAGAATGGCAAAAGAGTACAATCAGGACTTATGGATACTGGGGAAAACAGCTGGACTCCAAAGGTTTATAAGTGGCCGAATTCATAAGAATTGGATTCAACAGAAACGAATCAAAGAGATCACCCCAGGCTAATAAGTGAACGACAGCAAACTAAGGAAGTTCTTCTCAAAAGATCACATTAGTCGTCAGAAAAAGAAGTCATATCCTTAAAGGGTGGCATAGCGGTTAGGACGCTCGCCGACCATGCACATGGTCCGGGGTTCGATCCCCGGCCGACGCATTCCTTTACCTCGCTAAGCCAGAAATAATGCTGGTGAAGAGCAAAGGTTGGGCATGAGGCTAGCAACCCCATCCTGTAAAATAAACACTGCTACAGAAACTTCAAGCCACTAGCTTGAAGCCCTATGTTCCACTAGGGAACGTGAAGGAGAAAAAAGAAAAAAAAGAAATCCTTAAAGGGTAATCGTTCACTTCTCCTTATCGACAAAGTTGTCGTTTAATTCAGTAGTTTGACCACCAGGTTAGTCACACATCGACACCAATTTAATCAAACATATTATTGATACTGGTTAATCCTCAAGCATATTGAATGGAGATGGAAAGAATAATGTTAGCGATCCTGAAACTCACAATTTTCGTTACGATATGTTGAAAAAGAACAAGATACATTTGTCTCCCAGATCATCTACAGATGATGATGTGGATATATCTCCAAATAACTCCCCATTGTCAGATGGTAGCTGGACAAAATACTCGACTGATATGAAAACTTCCCCACATAGATCTGCTTTGGGGAATTCCTCTCCATATTTCTCTTATTTTCAGGACTCCAGGGACTGCAAGATGAGAGATATTGTAATAAACTCAGGTCATGCTGTTCAGCAACCAGGAAAGTCTACATTACAGCTACCACAGGCAATCTTATGGAACAGCTATCTCGTTGGTCATTGCATGCAGCGAGCAAACTCTCACCATCCATTGATGTCATCGTTTTCGGATGAATCTACAACTATCCACAAGTTTTCGTTTCCTCTTCATATGATGTTCTCCATGTTACCTGCAGACTCATTCCCAAATCGTCGACCCCCAAACTAGTTACCTCCAATAGCTGGGCATGGGATTTCACTTGAATGTCTCCTCAGGATATGTCCAATTAACCTCCATTTCAGCCTACACGTTTGTTGAATAACAGGTTGTTAGCTAGTCTGCTGCTAAATTTCCTTGTTGTTTAACCTTTCGGCCAATCTGATCTTTATCCTGTGGTTGCACATTATTTCATCTCTTCACGTTTAATTCAACTTACGTTTATCATATCGGTTACTGATAACTAATATCTGCTTTTATTGATATTTATAATAATAACAGTAACATGTCTTCTTATTAAATTTGTATAAGGCATCGAACATCCGGCAACTATTCAGATATCTAGAATATTGGATCATATAGAACATTATCTTACTAAAGGTCAAATGATTACAAAAAGCATAGATGAAAGTGAATCAAGTTGGATGGAATCATCTTCTGTAAGGCTGAAACTTTCTACTGGTCGTCTAGCACAAAATACGCTTCCTTCAAATCGATCACCGACGACATCATACAGACAAATTTCATCTGCACAGAAAATTTCAAATAAATTTGCTAAATTCCCTTCAAGTACTTCTTTACTCAGTGAGAAATCGTCAAGATTACTTTCTTCACTGTCAGGTTAGTACGAATTATTATGGTTATTTGTTTATTGTGTACTTCTTCTTAATCTGGACCAAAATACTTGATCTGTCTTCCAACCTGTCAACTCTTACTCCAGAAGCTTCGATAATGTCTGAAGGTGGATATGATGTCATTCAGTTGGTGGTCACTATCAGTGGAATTCGGGATACATATTTACTCCTATTTTAGACTTGTCATCTGAATGTCTGCATCCCTGTTCTCACTGGGACTCAAACCCAAAATCCATAGTTTCAAATGCTATTAGCGTTATCTGCTGCGATACTGGGCTACAACAGCCATCTTATGTGAAGTCGGTAATTACTCTGTATTTCCCCTTGAGCGATATATTTTGCACGTAAATGCCTTGTAATCGCGATTACGATGAGCGCCGCTGGGTAGTATCATCAACCTTCTCACAATAAGTTTGGCCTATATCCTGATATATTACAAATATGTCCTAATAATGATAATATTTATGGATTACTGTCTGTACCTTCACTTAATGTTTAAGGTCATCGCATTCCAGAAGAGTATAGAGTTAAGAAACTGGATAAAGTGATAAAGACATATATGGAGTATTTAGATATGAAGCAATGGCTTACTGAATGTGGTAGATGACGTTTTAATTGTAGATTGTAAATTCGAATCATGTTTCACCACCCTAGGAGCTATCGACAATGCCCACTAAACCAAACAAATATCGTCTGTAACTCTATCTGTCGTCATATTTTTATTTGGGGACGCAATGGTGTTTGAAATGATAGATTCTTTGTTAGAATCTCAGTAAGAATACCATCATTTACTGGCCATGCAGACCAATCCAGTTGACAAGTCTCAAACAGGACGCAGACAGCTTCCTAGATTACATTTCTAGTCACCATTGACCGAAAAAAAACATACTGTGTTTTATTTAAAAGAATATTAGTTTTACTTCACTTACTTATGAGACCATGATCTTAATAAAGTAAACTAGGAAAACTGGCTGACTAGTTTACATAATGAAAAACATAATAGGATAATGATGTGACGGATAGTAATAGACTGTTATTTTCTAAGTTCAAACACTGACTGGTTTCAGTTAGAGAACCAGTGAAAACCAAACAGGGAGTAGTGGACAGCTGTTTCATCCTAGCATGGAACTCGCCACCAGAATGCACCCACCAGGGTTTGAACCAAGGACCTCTCTGTTGCAAGGCAAGTTCCTAGATTATTCATCCACTAGTACCCGATTCAGTGGCCTGTGAATTATAACTTCTGCCAATGTGTAATTTTAGCGTGACCAGCAGCCAGTGTCATCGGCTAGAGTTTGTCCTCACGCTAAATTAATCCTAATTAAGTAATATATATGGAACTATATATTCACTAGGCGTCTACTGGCTAAAAGACTAGCAAGACATACACATTAAGTGAGAGAATTAATTGTTTTTTTTAAGAAAGACATCGACTAGGCTGTACATTTGCATATATATATATACATGTATAAAAGTGGTGAGCAATTTCCAGAAATATTCCCAATGAAGGATCAAGTGATAACTAATAACAAGACCACAAAGAGATATTAAAAGCGTAATAATAATAATAACAAAAAAATGATGTTCGGATAAGAGACATAGTAAGATATTAATGGTCATGGTAAAGACAGACATTGGACGCGCTTATTTTGAATACACAGCTTGAATTTTGGGATCACTAATGTTTCACCTATGCTCAGATTGACTGATTAAAAGTGCCCATTAAAATTTACGAAAAAATAGATACTGAACAAAGAATACTCTTTTCGATAACCTCTCCTTCATTAGGCTCTACAGTTATATATCCATCCATAATAGTGAATGAATGAATAATTTAGTGTTATGAACAACATTAATGTTGTTTAAATAACATTGAATCAATAATAATATCAACGGATTACAGTTCAATAGCATCAACATAACAATAAACTGAATGTCAGTAAAATTAGGAAAGATAATATTACAAATTCATGAATTTATAGTCTCTACTGAAAACCGGCCAGGGCTTGCTTCTTTTGCACACAAAGCACTGGTTGTTTCACACGAATCGCGATAGCCTCTGCTGTTTGGAGCATGCGGTGCTTCGATGTTTTTGGTAATTTATTTGGCACCCGGTAGATGATAGAGAAGGTTTCTTCAATGCTAGCTTTCTTTGTGGCTGGTTTGTACCAGATGGTCTAATATCGAACTGTTGATAGTTTTCACTACACCTTTACTTAGCCATACTGGGAGATGTTCTCGATGAGCAGGAAAAATCAAGTTCCTAGAGCAACGTCAGATGTAGCTCGCTCCACAAGAGCAGTGGAATTGGGAGATACAATTTGAAGTGGCTAGTCTAGGTACTTCATCTGTTTTCCATTCAGACTGCTTAGTGTTCCCGAGTGCATAGGCTTCACAGCAGAAAGCGCACTGGTGGCATTTTCATTTTGATGTGGATAAATGCAACAGCCTGTAGTTTACGTACTGGCTGTATAGTTTCTTGGAAAGAAGTATTACTCGTAAGCTGGCAGCGAAGTCTGTTTTAATGAGATTTCCATTGGTGCTTTCGAGATTCTGCAGCAGAATCTTTTTAGAGGCAACCTGGACCTGTTCAGTAGCTTTCTTTGGATTAAGGTTTTTATCTATGAATCTAATTGGGAGACCAATTTCCATGAATATTCTTAGGAAATTTTATACTTCTGCGTCAATAGATTCCTTAGTACAGGTTTTCCGAATCCTTGTGGAAAGAGAACAGATGAGATTTCTTTTTCTGCTTAGAAGGATAAAACTCTGAAAGTCAGTGACTGTCATTCCTATATTGGCTTATTGTAGATGAATCTTCTCAGCAAGTTAATAACACTTGGTAGCAGTTGAACGTCGGATCAGATTCAACTTCTAGAGCAAAGTCGATTTATTGGTGGGCAAAACTAAAGGTTAGGAGAATTTTTCCGAGATCCATATTCTCATGACACAAATAATGAAAGTGTCATAGATGTACTTCTTGGAGAGATGAAGCTCATCGCTTAGTAAAACATGCTTCCCTGCCAACATATAATCAGCATATCATTTAATGTCATACTACCCGATTATGAAGAATTCTGCAGACGTTTTGTTAATTACCTTCAAAAGTATAAACTCATGGACTGGAAATCCCGTAAAGATAGAAATGAATACACAATTTGATCTTAAGATTTAAATGAATCATTAAAACGATATCAGGTTGAATAAACCAAATGGGTTATGTAGTACGCGAAATCTTAGTATCACAGTAGTTTTAGCCGGTCTACACTCATTATTATTATTATTGTTTCTTTTAGTTCCTAAAGGAACTTAGGGCTTCAGCCTCACGTCTCCATTGCGTTCGGTTCTCTGCCAACGTTTTCACCTGGTTCCACCTCTGCTTTCACCTCCTCTACACATCACCTCCTCCATGTCATCCCACCTTCACAATGACGACCAACTCGGTGCTTCCCGTTCGGGTTCCACTCGAGCGATGAGCTATCTTGTGATGCCACTTGATGGTTTGTTTTCTCAGAGTATGGCCAATCCACCTCCATTTCCTCCTGCTTATTTGTTGCACAATCGGTTCCTGCTGGGTTGGTTCGCTCATTGCCAGAGATCCCTGTTGCTGATCTTTTCTGGTCAGCCATCTGATCTTGAGTACTGAGCGAAGACAACTGTTGATGAAGGTGTGTAGTTTGTTCGAAGTGCTCTTCATGACGCGACAAGTCTCTGATCCATATAGTTTTACATTGGAGTTGAAAATCCGGATGTCATTTTCATGTTGAGTGTTGTTGTTCTCCACACAGACTTGCGAGTAATGAAAGCTTGTCTTGCTTTCCTGATCCTCGCCTTGATATCCTCGTCAGTTCCGTCCACCTGTAGTTGAAACGATGCTTCCCAGGTAGGTAAAGGTCAACACTCAAGGAAAATGAAACGAACTGGCGTGGAGCTGAATACAATTGTCTGAAATTATTTATCCTTCTTATTATTGGTCTTAGGCTTTGGCAGATGTTAGACGACAAGAAACTGTGACATCGGTATTTCACTTGTTTTTCTAATTATCGACAAAGCATTTTTGAAACGTTAGGCAAAACTGATTTGATGGTGAATTATTCAGGATAGCATTAAGTGACTTTACCTCTCAAAATTCCAGGCCTCGATTGACCCTCTTCATTGCACCAACCAGTTGACAAACAGTAACCCTAAAATTTAACTGTCTAATTCTAAAAATATTGATTCAAATCCATTAATCAGACATAATTCAAGTTGTATTTTTTTATTTATTCAAATATTTGTCTAGTTATTTATTCGTTCAACTAATTTGTTTTTATTTACGTTAGATACAACCAGGACTAATACACCGTCTAGCCGATTAGATTACCGACAAAGTAGAACAAAAGATACACTGAAATCATCAAAATATGAATTATCGCTGAGACATTTAGGTAAAATACATCGAATTCTATCGCGTAGAATTAATCGAACAAGTAATATGAAAAGCTATACAGAAAACAGCATTTATCGTAGACAACCAGGACATGTGTTTTCAGTTTAAATTAATAAACTACAGGTTAGTTTGTCAGTAATTTCATATTTATATTTATATATTGTAAATATAAATTATTTGTTTTCATTGAATCAGCCCACCTTACTGGATTACAATCAGATAGCTCGGAAATATTATTGATATAAGTATAAAACTTGGGCACTGTGGTAGAGTATAACTCCATTATGGATAAGATTTTATTTTGATAAATCACACAGTGGTGTTATACAGTAATATTAACTGATGCGACCACCTTTCGAACACGAACTATTGCCACTCATAATCATATCGAGTCACTCACTCACACAACCATTTGTTACTTCATTTATATACATGAGTGAAAGTAATGATAAGACATTTGAATAAAAATCAATATGGGATAATGTACATTCAGAAATAATAATATGAGTGTTATTGATCAAATACAATCAGATGGGAAATAAGACGAGTGCTTTTATAGTAAAATAAATAAGTAACTTGTTAGAATGTTATGATGTACGTGAATTGAAACAGAATTTTAGGATTATTTATTATCCTCCTCTGATTTGACTGACTGGTGGCAATAATATCTTCCATGCATATCTCTGGTATTTGCATTGAGTCATTTCTGTTGCATGTGTTGGGCGTAGACTCCATGAACAAGGAAGGATTCAGTAATCAATCTCTCTCTCCATGCATGCATTAACACAACCACACAATAAAGTGGGAGAGGGTTCAAATTCCAAAAAGTAATATAGGTAGGTGGAGAGAGAGATTGATTACTGAATCCTTCCTTGTTCATCGAGTCTACTGACACCAAACACAACACATGCAACAGAAATGACTCAATGCAAATACCAGAGATATGCATGGAAGATATTATTGCCACCAGTCAGTCAAATCAGAGGAGGATAATAAATAATCCTAAAATTCTGTTTCAATTCACGTACATCATAACATTCTAACAAGTTACTTATTTATTTTACTATAAAAGCACTCGTCTTATTTCCCATCTGATTGTATTTGATCAATAACACTCATATTATTATTTCTGAATGTACATTATCCCATATTGATTTTTATTCAAATGTCTTATCATTACTTTCACTCATGTACATAAATGAAGTAACAAATGGTTGTGTGAGTGAGTGAGTGACTTGATATGATTATGAGTGGCAATAGTTCGTGTTCGAAAGGTGGTCGCATCAGTTAATATTACTGTATAACGAACACTGTGTGATTTATCAAAATAAAATCTTATCCATAATGGAGCTCGGAAATACAATGAAGTAAGTTATCTGACCAATACTAACAACCATCAATCACCATCAACGGAAGAAATTCAAAAAGGTGAAGTACTTTTGTAGCAATAGAAGGCAATTCACGGAAGCCAAAGTATATTTTTCATTCATCAAACAGCTATTTACACCTATACTGTTTATATAATCTAACCAATTACCGAGCGTGTGATTTGGTTTACATCAAAGGAAAGGAAATAGAATGTTCAAATTTACGCAGTATTCTGTTGCCAATGCCGAATTGAACTTCTGGAATAAGTGAGAATAATATTCCGTTAGCACACATTGTCTGTATCACACCAGCACACTTTCACTTATCTTAGGCTGTATTGTTTTAACTACAGACAGTCAGCATAGATGAACATGTCAAAACGAGGATTGGAAAGGCAGGACAGACCTTCATTAATCTGAAATCATTGTGGTAATCGACTGCACTCTAAGCACAAGGAACAAGATTCGAATATTCAGTATGAATGTCAGAAATTTGGTGGGTCATCAAAACCATTTTGGAAAGCCTTCAGACTTTTATTTACAGCTGACTTCACTCGACATTGAAGATCAGATGGCTGGCCAGAAAGGATAACGCAACAATTAACTCTGCGAACAAACCAACTAAGAAACGATTGCTCAACAAATGTGCCATAGAAAATGGAGACGGATAGTTCATACACTAAGAAGACTGTTGAGTGACCTCATGCGCCAGTCCCTCAAGCAAAAGCTAAACGGGAAACGGCATTTCTGGTGTAAGTACAAGGCTGAGGAGATGAGAGTTTGCTGATAATTATGGAGCCAGCCAAAGAGGACTACCATGAATGCTGCATGCCAAGTAATCCACAACGGGAAACTCACGGAACCCTTCGAAGTGAAGACAGGAGTAAGACAAGACTGCGTACTATCGCCAATGATTTTCCTGATTGCAGTAGACTGGATAATACGACAGTAGCGGCGGGCAACTAGGAAAAAGGCGTAAATTGGACTCACACAAAATACTTGGAGGATCTGGACTTCGCCGATGATATATGTCTGATTTCCCACAAACTGGAAGATATGCAAGCAAAAAGCAACAAGTTGACAGAAAAAGCAGCAAGGATAGGACTTCAGGTGAACATAGATAAAACAGAGGTGATGAAGATTCCTGGACAACACCACCACCAGCAACAACAACAGACAACAATCAGCATAAATGGGAGGAACCTGAAAGAAACAACCTCCTTTACCTACCTGGGAAGCATCGTTTCAACTACAGGCGGAACTGACGAGGATATCAAAGCAAGAATCGATCGGAAAAGCAAGACAAGCTTTCACTACTCTCAAGTCTGTGTGGAGAACAACAACACTCAACATGAAAATGAAAATGACATCCGGATTTTCAACTCCAATGTAAAGTCAGTGCTACTATATGGATCAGAGACTTGGCCAGCGCGTCATAAAGAGCATCTCAAACAAACTACAGACCTTCATTAACAGCTGTCCTCGCTCAATACTCAAGATCAGATGGCCGGCCAGAAAAGATCAGCAACAGGGATCTCTGGCAATGAGCGAACCAACCAACCCATCAGGAACCGATTGTGAAACAAATATGCAGGAAGAAATGGAAGCCATCAAGTGACATCACTAGACAAGCCATTGCTCGAGTGGAACCCGAAATGGAAACAGTGATTTGGTCTTCAGTGCAAGGGTGACTTGGAGGAGGTCATGTGAAGAGGAGATAAAAGCGTGTGGGCAAACTTGGAGCCAGGTGAAGACTCTAGCAGAGAACCGAACGCAATAGAGACGCACGGCTGAAGCCCTATATTCCTCTAGGAATTAAAGGATGAAATAATAATAATAATATGAATAAAATGAAATGGAGATGTGCTGTTGAAGTTTTGTGGGAATAATGGGAATAATAATAATTATTATTATTTCTTCTGATTACTTTGTCGCAGCAGTTGATATTTCTTTGAACTCGTATAATTATTGTTTCAAATTTTAAGATTTTTTTCAGTAAGTAATATTACTAAGTACTTCTAGATGAACTGATATTGCTGAGAGGAGAACGTTGGTCTGAATGCCATGATCATTCCAATTTTTTCGAGAGCTCTCATCAACCATGACACATTAGTAACTAACAAGTTTCGGTAAAGATACCGAACTCTCATTTGATTTTAGCGTATGTGATGCATATACAATTAACCATTAGGCGAAATAACACGCAAAAATAAAGGTGCACTGAGAGAGTCAGTCTGAGATCTGATTATGACTACATTCCAATATGAAGGGATGCAGTGAGCACTACTACTCTGCTTCTGGATCATTTATATCATTTTGTGAGGAAAACTAATTCCGAATGAATCTTAACACTAGCAATTCCTTATATAAGTACTGCTATTTATCCTATTGCATAATGGCAGGTTTATTAGCATTGCGGAGATTGCTGACTATTGTATTATTAACCCTTGATTAATATTAACATTAGGCGTTAAGTCTTAAGCTCCTTGATGTTTTAGCTCTTATTTTCAAGAGTTAATTTGTAGGTATTTAACTTATTTCATGTTCAATCAAAGGTTAAGGAATCACTGAGAACCAGACACTGCTGACATCGACACTACGCATCACATAGCATCGACAACATGCGCTTCGAATTATGTGGACGAACGCGTTGACCATTCACCTACATTGCCTTGAATCCAATGGCTAGTGAATCCCAATTTCTTTCGATCCATGATTTCAGCATGACCACCAGTTCTTAAGTGTATATTTGCTGACATATACTAAATCTATCTAAGGTTCACTGGCTTCTTAGTTGACACTTCATAATAAACTCCCTGAGGGAGTAATAATCCTCACAGAAACTTTCCTAATAGTATACCACTTTTGATGATATTAGATAGCTGGAGGCAATCGACAGGAAGCCCTACCTGATCTAGGTTTCGTCCTTATGTGGCACTCACTGGTCAGCAAGGCGTATCTGCAACCTTGAAGGAACTCATGTCCTTTCTGAGATTCGAACCCACGTTACCCACTTTATTTATAATAGTAATGATGGAGATTGTAGAGTGTTCACTTATTTGAGGATAAAAACTAACTTTTATATTTTAATTATATATTTTCAGATGGAAAAGAAATTCTTTTTTCTTTTCTCAACAGTGAAGACAAATGAGCTCAAACAGAAAACATAATAGTTTCAAAAAAGAATACAATAACATTAACAGTCATTACTTCTCATATATGTTCATGTATATGTGGATCTGTGTATGATTGTGTAAATCAAATACCAAAAAATGAACAACACTTGACTTTATTCATTTCATTAAAATTGAAACTAAACTTGTTTTGAAGTTAATTGGTGGATGGTGACTAGCAGTGGAATCCAGGATGCGCATTTCGTCCTATTTGGGACTCGCCATCTGGATGTACCTACATTCCACAGTGAGTGATGATGATGTTCCACGACGGGAAAATCTAAGAATTCAATTAAATAATTAGTATGACTCATTGCACAAGAGGTGGCTCTCGTCGCCCAAGTGGTCTAGTAGATAACGCTTTGGCGTTTGAAACTATGGGCACTAGGAACATCATCATCACTCGCTGGGGAATGCAGGTACATCCAGATGACGAGTTCCAAGTAGGACGAAGTGCGCATCCTAGATTCCACTGCTAGTCACCATCCACCAATTAAATTCTAGTTGCATGCCCAAACATCCTCGAAGCATCTGCACAAGAAACCGACATGTCAACCTGAGACCAAGC